TCAAATCTATATAATAAGGGAGGAAGGTTTTCGAAAATGTATAAAATGTGTGTGAGATACATTTTAATTTAATGGCTAAGATTAATCCCAAGTTTATATTAATGGTTCAGATCAACAGATCTCCCGCCCAAACAACTCTTGCTCTCTGTCCCACGTCTAGCTAAACACATCTGCTCTATACATTCTCTCTCATCCCCTTCCTCATCCCAAAAGTTGTCTTACCTCTCCCTCTATACTTGGCTTACTACCTCCTCCATCGTTAGCGCGATCAGATCCAATCCTCCACCTCTCTCCACGTCGTCACTCTCTCCGAACTCGCTGCCATCGCCTCCCTTATCGCTTCCTTCATCTACCTCCTCGGTTTTTTTGACATTGGTTTCGTCCAATCCTTCATCACCCGTGCTTCTCACGATCGCTTCATCCTCAAAGAAGATCACTGCCTTCCCCTCCTGTGCCCAAACTGATGGATCTGCCGCATGTGAATCGTCAAATCAGTGTGATTTGGGTTTGATTGGTGTGATTTGGGTTTGATATTTTTTCTCCTTCTCTCTCTGTTCTTCTCCTTCATTTCATGAATACATACATTTTTAGGGTTATTTATAACATTCTTGGGTTTGATTGGTGCATTTGGGTATGATATTTTTTTTCCCTTCTCTCTCTGTTCTTCTTCATTTCATTAATACATACATTCATGAATACATTGATATATTTTTAGTTTCATCATCTGGGTTTAAAATTGGGTTCATTGGGGCTTACAATCTGTGTAATTTTGTTTCCTGTTTTTTTTATTGGGACTGCTAATCAGTTTTCAAAACAAAAAAACCGATCTTCTTTTCTTTCTCTCTCTCTTTGTGTGTATTTATAAATTCAAAAATGAAGGATTTCTAAATAGTCCTAATGAAGTGTGGGTTCCATTGTAATAGAGATGTTTGTGGTTTTTTTTTACTTTCATGTCATTAGAGCTCATTGATTTAGAGAATGTATCGTTATTCTTATAAATTTATGTGTGTTTCTAACTGCACAACCCATTACTTTTTATGAAATTCTGACTAATTTTATTGGACTTAGGTTGTTTTGTTTTAATTGGTTGTTTTTTTCATTTCTTTCCTTTTGCCTAAACAAAAAATAAAAAATAATTTTTTTAGGAATTGCTTGGTCTTATGAACTAGGTTAGTTATGGTTAGCAAATTTAGGGTTTGTGCTTCTCAGTGTTGTTTTCTTGAATTATTGATTGATCTAAGTTTGATATTTTTTAGCTAATGAGATCACCTGATGTATTTTTAAACAATCTCATCTGACTAATTTTATTGGACTTAGGTTGTTTTGTTTTAATTGGTTGTTTTTTTCATTTCTTTCTTTTGCCTAAACAAAAAATGAAAAATAATTTTTTTAGGAATTGCTTGGTCTTATGAACTAGGTCAGTTATGGTTAGCAAATTTAGGGTTTGTGCTTCTCAGTGTTGTTTTCTTGAATTATTGATTGATCTAAGTTTGATATTTTTTAGCTAATGAGATCACCTGATGTATTTTTAAACAATCTCAAATGAGTGGTATCTGATGCTAGATTTAGTAAATGCCTTGACACTACCAAGTAAAATTAGTTTAGGGAGGAGATTAGGTATTCATACACATTGCTAACTGAGATACTAGTATAGATTTTTTTTATTTTTGAAGTTTTAAAAAGAAGGTGAAATGAGGATGTGAAATGGAGTAATGGCAACATAAGAGAGTTCAAATCAAAATGAATGCATCAATCATGGGGACTTAGTAAATTTCACTTTAATTTGGGACAAGACGAGAAGGTTGGACAACAAGGTTTGCTTATGTGTTAGTAAATATATATCATCATACTAGCTAGAAGCACTATTATTCTGATCACGGGTGGAACTACTTGGCACGGGATTCTCTGTCCCTGCATCCCTTTTTGTGTCAAGAGATTCTCACACACACATACCACGACTGACAATGCATTGGGACAAAGAGACATAGGGATTTGGGTATAGAGTATCCCTGGACGAAGTACTTCAAATATAGAGTATCCGTTAATTCATTGGGGCTTACAATTTGTGTCATTTCATGAATACATTGATATTTTTTTTATTTCCTGTTTTTATTAGGATTTTGTGTCCAATACTGTTTTTATTATAATTTGGGGTTTGCAAACGCGTGTGTATTATGAAAACTCAACATGATATGTATACACGTGTGTATTATGATTTATATGTATAATGGTATAGTAATTTGTCTTAATTTTATAGACATTAGTTTGAGTCCGTATTTTTAGACAATTTAGAGATTTATTGCTTAGATGAGCTACTGGAATATGTGCTTGAGTTTATGTATAAGCTGGGTTTCTACTCATTAATTTATCACCGCATTGTGCTTATAGAAATTTTCAATTATGTTTGTGTCTCATTAGCACATGTCTAATGTATATGAAGTTCTATAGGACTATAGTTTTTTGAATATTTGTCACACAATTTTGATTTTTAAAAATGCCCTTAGAATTGCTAACTGAATGAATAAACATGTCACATTTAGTTAATAACTGCTAATCAGTTTTCAAAACCAACTCATGTTTCTCATTCAGCAAACAACCCAAAAAATTAGACATAGAATTGCAAACGCAGATGAGGATAAAAACAGTATTGGACATTGAATTGCAAACGCAAACAACCCACCATTCCTTCGAACTCGCATTGACCAATACTCTCTCTTTGATCTCTCTCTCTAGCTTTCTGTCTCTTTTTGGCGTTTTTCATTATTTTTGACCTCAATTACTATCTCTTCGCATCTAATTTCAGATCTCTCTGACCTCTATTGTGTTTGATTCTTCTCATTTTTAGGGTTTTGGGATGAAATTGATTCTAATGAACAAAAACAAGCAGAAGTAGAAGAAGAAAAGAAAAAGTAGCTTTAGTTAAATAATAATGCTACAAGATTGTTATTGTTTAAATAATTGTTTTTATATTAACAATTTACTTATTTTTTAAATGCAACAGTTGATTTTTGAAATTGTGCTTCAAAATCGGGTGTTTTGAAAACCCAATTTCAAAATAAGTTAATTGAAATTGTCTTTTGAAATACTTATTTGTGTTGAATATCTAAATTGGCTGTCATCATCAAAAATATCTAAACAGGTATGGTTCGATCACCGTAATGTCTGGGTCTCATTTGTTTCAAATTGGGATAGTTCATGTGTGCGATAACGATAATTAGATACTAATTTGGAAATCATGATGTTTTCGCAGTGACAATTGCCCTTTTTCATTATTTTTGACCTCGATTACTATCTCTTTGCATCTAATTTTGGGTTTTGGGATGAAATCAATTCTAATTGCTATGCATATTTTTGGGATGAAATCGATTCTAATTGCTATGAAATCGATTCCAATTGCTATGCTATGCAAAAAATAATTTCTACTATTTTTATTTACATAGATCCTGAGGTCCAAGGGGTCTTAACTGCTGCCCAGAAGCACTGGCCTCACATCCATATATTTGATTCGCTGGTTATGGCAGATTCGGCTGTCAAGATGGTAAAAGCTGGTTGCCAATATATCACAGTTCTAGGAGTTGATTTTATGTCAGAAAATGTGCGGGCAATCCTTGATCAGGCTGGCTTCTTAGAGGCAGTCTTTTCCTCTTCTTTTCATGTATTCTTATTTCATCACTTTGTCAGTTACAAATCCAATTCTAAAAACAGTTTTCAAGTTAACAGAGTAAAAAGTGCTACTTGGTCAACAAATATTTTAATTGAAGCATAGATTTCATATTTCAAGAACTAATAAATTAACATAATTAAAACATTAAAACCAACATTGATTCATATTTTGACTTCAAATTTTTAGCAACAAAAGAGATAAATTATATTTTAACCCAACAATTATATTTACTTACATTTTGATTTCATCATTATTTGCACGAGCATATACTAGATTGGAAGGGTTTTGAGCAAAGGTGTAATGTGTTTGCATAAACAAATTATTACATGTTATATAGAAAAACATATAAATCAATTATCAGTTAAGGTTTCTAGAGTGTTTTTGCTGTTTTCTTTTCTTTAAATGTTTTTTTTTTCTTTTAAACTTTTTTTGTCTAATTATTTATTCAATTCTTCTTTCTTTTTCTCTTTTTTCAACGAGGCAGTGGTGGTAGTGAATTCTATTGATGTCTCCAACAATGATCCTAGATCAGCAAGGCGATGCTGGAAACTATATTTATTTGCCTATGTTAATTTTTTGGGGGTATATTTATCTGTTTGTTGATTTTTTTTTTTATATATATATTTATTTGTTTGTTGTCCATAGAATCATATGCTTCATTGTTTCAAAGTAAAGTATTCATATTTTTTCTATTGTTTTGATTGTTTTATCAGCAAGATGAGTTCAGTTAATTGGTTTTGTTGGCGGTTGATTTTGATATTTTGAGTTATTTTATTAGTGGGTGCGCTTTTTGTAGTACTTTAGTTAGTGTGCTTTGATTTTGTTTAGCTTCTATTTTCATGGCATTGTTATGTCGTTGGTGAGAGAGATAAGGGAAAACGAGAGAAGGAGTGTGGTATGGGAGGCAAGGAGAAGATATAGAGAGTGGTGGTTGTGCAATGGGGGAAGGGGAAAGTCTGGAGGTAAAAGAAATTCAGAGAAAAAAAATAGAACTGTGAGAGAGGTGGACGTGAAGGTGGAGCTAAATGGAAATACAAAAAAAGAAAGAAAGAAAAAATTTAGAGCATCGAGTTGGGAAAAAAAATGAGTTCAGAAAATTCATTGTTTTGGAATGGATTCTTTTCAGCCGTTATCTTGAGTTATTTTGGAATGAATTCTTTATTGTGTTGTTTTAAAATCTGTTTTGTTGTGTGGTCAGAAAATTCAGAAAATTCTGTTTCGTTATCTTGAGTTATTCAGAAAATTCATTGTTTTGGAATGAATTCTTATATTTTTTCAGGTATGGTTTGGTTTTGTGAGTTTAAATCCTTAAAAGCCATTGAAGCCACAATGGAACTTATGTCTATCAGACCCTTTTAGATCCAATATCCTTTCAGATCGAAGGAAAAGCTCCATTCATCCTCCATGTGGAAGAGGAAAATAATAGTGTACTGCTTTTAATCCTCATAGAAGAACCATCCTAAAATTCCTAATGTGAGTCTTCCTTTTAAATTTTTTCTCCTTTTCATTATACAATAAATGCGCCTTTTAGGCCATCAACTACTCTTTCTATCTCTCCCTGTCTCTATTTTCTATTATTTTAATTCCCTAGCTCTAAACTTCAGTTACAACAGAAAATAATTGTGAAAGGCCAGTTAGAACTATTGGGTGCATTTGATATTGAAGATAAAGCCTCTGAAATTTGATGTGAGCCCAAATCAAGTGACAAGAAACAATATCAGAAGTGAAAAGAAAGAAGGTCAATAATTTCAAATACTTTTATTTGGCTATATTTTAGAGCAATAATTTCAATTTTATAGTTGTTTTTAATTGATGACTTTTACATCATCCCTACAATTACTCTCTTTGAAGTATGTTTTCATTCATGTAATTTATTCAACCACATTGGGGCATTATACATGGTTATCAAAATCGCGATTTGGATCATAGTCCTACAATCCTAAATTGTCAAAACGATCCAAATCGTTGTACGATCGGTGTTATAGTAGGATCGCAAGTAGGATCATATGTAGGATCATAAGTAGGATCACTGGATTTATGATTTTTCACCTTATTTTTATTATTCATCATTCTAATTTGTATTTTTACCTAGAAAGTAGAATCTTACGATTCTCAATCTGATCCTACAATCTGATCCATGAGACCCTCTCATCGATCCTATGTAGGATTCCAATTTTAACAACCTTGGCATTATATGGCCGCAATGATTTTTCTCGATAGCTGATTTTGGTAAGTTGGATTAAAAATGGATTTACTTAACCTAGGTTTGAATTTATGCTATTAAATTGGTGAGGTAATGTAACATTAAATTGACGTATATGTATGACTTCCAAGTCTAAAGCTCCACAAATCGTATGAGTGATAGTTTTTTTTTTTTTTTTGGGTACAAGGAACAAAATCCACTATTTAAGTGGTTATATGGGTTCGATCGCCCCCCCCCCCCAAAAAAAAAGGTTATATGGGAGCGCCTTTACGCACAAGTTATGCACTAGACATTAACAATGTTGACTTTTGTTTAATATGGGTTCTCATGTCTTAGCAGCCCAACCAATCCCATTGCCAAAAGTCCAAATCTTGCTTTGAAAAAACTCTTTAAAATTTTTGAGTTTGGTCTGTTTTGCGTGAATTTGGAAAGTAAAAATAAAACGTGAGTGAAATATAAATGAAATATCAGTTAATTTTTTTTTCTTTAATGTTACAGATATTTGATGTGGTTTCAGTACTTCTGGTTGTTTTTCTATTGAATTTGAGCAATGTTGATGCCCAAAAAGCGCGTGTTTTGGACTACTTTGAGTACTCTGCTATGAGCTGCAGAGCTCACAATGCCAGCTTAACAGATTTTGGAGGAGTTGGTGATGGAAGCACCTTCAATACAGAGGCATTCAAGGCAACAATAGCTCATCTAAGCCAGTTTGAATCGGACGGTGGATCACAACTCTTTGTACCTCTTGGAAGATGGTTGACTGGCAGCTTCAATCTCACCAGCCATTTCACACTTTACCTCCTATAAATCGTGGTTAGTAAAAAAAGAAAGGAGGGTATTTAAAGTGAGGGTGAGTGGAGGGACAATTAAATAGAGAGTAGGAATTCATAAGTGGATAATCTTGCAACAAATCCGATATAAATAAAAAAGAACAACAGCGCAAGGGCAAGTTTTTTGGGAATCCTATGCTTCAAGGTTATGTACATATTGTTATTATGGGTCATTTAGTTTTAGGTTATGTACATACTACTATTATGGACCATTTAATTTTAATCTAATACATTTGATTTCAATTCCATTCTCCACAATTAATTACAAGCACCAAGAACTGGTTTGCAATGTCTACTTGCCCTGTAGTATGGTTGTGGTGATAGTGTATGAAGAGCAGTAGGTATTGGGTTTTGATTGTTGTGAAATAGGATGATGAGTGACTATAAGGTGGTGACGATCAATGATGGTATGCAAGAGTTATATACCCATCTCTGATTTATTATTTTTATTTTTAATGTGGATTTTCATAGACCTAAAGACAGTAAATCATCTATACCTATTTCTGATTTATTTTTTTATTTTTAATTATATATTTTTTGAATAAGGGAGAACGATTTTTGAATTTGTCTCAAAATGTATCAGAGATACATTTCGTTTGAATGGCCGAGATGATTCCTAATCAATATCTAATGATTGAAGTATGTGCAGTGATTTTAGGATTCAATCTATGTTCTTCTTGCTGATTAATTTTTAATTGTTGTTGGTGTTGTGATGATCTGGGTGTTATGAGTGCTCATTGTTGTTGTTATTGATTTTAGGATTGGATCTGTGTTTTTCTTGCTAATTGATCTTTAATTGTTGTTGGTGTTGTGATGACCTAGGTGTTGTGAGTACATATTGTTGCTGTTGTTGATGAATTATGATGATGTAGAATGATGATGATGCAGATAAGATACATGTATAAGACTTGATCTGTGCAAAGTAAATTTTTGTGATTAAAATTTGTACAGGCTCTGATCTGTTTTATTGTTAATTTTTTTATTTTTTTTATGATGATGATGATGAACATATAAGATTTGGTGATTGTGTTGTTGTCGAAGAACAAATATGATTTGTTGTTGATGATAATGTTCTTGAACAAATGAGTGTGTAAATTTTTCATGGACCCAATGACAGTAAACAGGATGATGGTGTTCCCTTTGTGGGTTTATGATATTTTACATTGTACTGTTGTGAGACTTAAGTTTGGCATTGAGTTGGATTTTTGTAGTCCTTTAGGGTAAAATTTGTTTTTGATGGTTTTGAAATGGGTTTCAAAACCCATTTCATTGAAATATTGGTTTGTGTGATTTTTTTTATTTTTGTCGATTAAGTATGTGTTTGGGTATGATTTGGATTTGAGTTTGTATTGGAGGAGGTTGGTGTATGATTTACAAGCAATAACCAGTCACTTATTTATAAGCAATAAATCAGAGATGGGTATAGATGGTCCGCAACCTTCATTGGTTTTGCGGCAGCCTAAGTGACTTACAGCCTAAGTTGCTGTTTGGGTATGATTTACCATAACATTGTTTACGCCGTGCCTTTAGGCATGGGCATACACTAGTTAATTTATATTTTATCAAATTGACGACTTTACCCTTGAAATTAATCGATAGTATCTTCAATTGTCTTTATTTGGAACAAGATTCAAAATTTATGATCAAATGTGTCACAATTGAAAAGTCAGGGACCAAAGTGACATGAGTCTCAAACTATAGGGACGGCTAGTGTAATTCGCCCTCTTTTTTTTTAAAAAAAAAAAAAACAGACCAAATTTTAAATAGGCCAAATTGTTAAATTTTCCTTTGTAATTGTTGCAGAGGTATCCTGATGTTGCTAAATTTCAACGTATGTTGTTGCAATTCATTGAAGACCTAGATATACTATTCTTAGATGCAACTGCTACAGGAGAATGGGCATACATCCCTAGCTTAGAGGTTATGCCTAACACTGATGAGACTCGGGAGGAATTTCATACCCTACATGATACTGAATTTCATGATGATGTTGATTTGGAGGTGGTTCATCCTTTTGATTTAAACAAAAAACGTCCATCAAACACTGATGGTTCATCAAACAAGGGCAAGACAAAAAAGAAAGTTTCTGGTGCAATTCTACTTAACAAGACACTTGATCGTATAGTTAATGTAGTTAAGTCATCTTCAGCAACTTCAACACAAACCTCATCAAGATATCCTTCAATTGTAGAATGTTTGGCGAAGTTGGAAAGCATCCTTGGTGTGTCCCCGGATGATGAGCTGTATGTATGGGATGCCATATTGTTCTTAAGAGACAAGTGTCGTGAGTGCTTCATGACACTTCCTATAGATGAAGTTTGACTAAGGTTTCTGAAGTTGGAGATTGAGATGGAGAAGACCAGCACAGGTTATCGCGGCTAGTTACTTTTGGATGTATGATAATCTTATTATTCATACTGAATTTTATTATTATTTCATGTTTAAGACCTTTATTAGGACTAATTGTTATTAATGGTGGATTGTTTTGTTGGACCTTTATTTGGACTTTTATTAATATTATAAATGAGTATGTTGGAATTTTATTATGTTGGACTTTGTTAGTTGAATGGATGAGTAGTAGGTGACATTTATTTGAATGGTTGTGTTGGAAGTTGAAATTATTATGTAACTGCCATTGTTAGTTGAATGGAAGGTGAATGGTTGAGTAATAGGTGACATTCATTTTTATTAGGTTACTATTATTATTACTATTCTCATATGCAATTTTTATTAGGTGGCTGTCATTTGAATGATAGGTGGCATTTATTTGAATGCTGAAGATGAATGGTAGGTGACTTTAAGTATATATATATATGTAGATGTGTTGGCCTCAGGTATCTTTCAATTTCGATGTTTCATCTCTCTTCAAAAAGGTCTTTTACTGAGACAATAGTTGTGTTTTCAATAATTTTGGCCCCTAGGTATTTTGGTAAACAAATCTTATTGTGTTTTCAATAATTAGTTGTGTTTTTAATAAATATTATTGTGTTCATTTCATTATTGTACTAGTAAATAAGAAGCTTTTAAATGAGTAGGTATTTTGGAGATGAGTAACAGTGGTGACGATTAATGGAATGATGATCATGATGATGAAGATACTGAAGATGAAGGCAACACATTGCAAACCCAACAAAATAAAAATATGCTCTTAGCAACGGCAACAATAGTTGCAGTGACATATGTGGCAAATTATTTGATAAAAGAACCATGTGGGACATCTTCTCTAACAGGGTGGAAGTGGATGACAGAATTACAAGAAGGGAATCGGATAAGAATATTTGAAAATTTTTGAATGGAAAGAGAGGTTTTTTTATCAATTGTGTGATTTGTTACAGAAAAACTATGGCCTTGAAACTAGACGAAAAGTCTCGGTTCAAGAGCAGGTTGCAATATTTTTGTATATTGTTGGCAGTGACATTCGAAACAAACATGTCCAAGAAAGATTTCAACATTTTAGAGAGACAATTTCAAAATACTTTAAGAAGGTGTTAAAAGCTGTTACAATGATGTCTATTGATTGGGTAAGGTCTCAACCAAGAAATGGTGTGCATTTATATATTAGAAGCAACCGCAGATACTATCCTCATTTCAAGATAATAATTAACTGTAAGTGGAACTTGGGTGTTAAATATAATTAATGTTGCTAGGATATTTCTAATAATGAATAAACATATTTTTATTCTAAATTTTGTAATAGGATTGTATATGAGCAATTGACGAAACACACATCAAAGCATATATATCTCTAGATAAGCAACCTCGTTTAATAGGTAGAAAGGAGTATGTGACTCAAAACATAATAGCCGCATGTGATTTTGATATGTGTTTCACATTTTGCTTGCCAGGATGGGAAAGAAATACTCACGATACTTAAATCTTCTTAGATACAATTAGGAATCCTAGTTATAATTTTCCAAAATCACAAGGAAGTAACTATTTTATATTTGATTGCTATAGTTGATGCACTACACTCAGATCTTCATATTTATTTTTACATTTATAATTGTTTACTTTCATTTCATTTTGGAATTTTAAAATAGATGAGTTTTACTTGGTGGATGCTGGGTATCCAAACATGAAAGAATATCTTGCACCTTACAAAGGAGAGAGATACCATCTAGTTGAATTTGAACATGGTCAACCCCCCAAAATGCATAAGAAAAATTCAACCAAGCACATTCATCACTTAGAAGTGTAATAGAAAGAATATTTGGGGGTTGGGAAAGCAAGATGGCCGATGATAAAGGATATCTCACCAAATTACAAGTGGTCGACCCAAGTCAAACTTGTTTGTGCAACAATGGCAATTCATAATTTTATCCGACGAAGTGAGTTCCGCGATATTGTATTTGACTCTTATGATAAATTCAAAGATTATGTGCCTAATGAAGAGGAAGGATCAAGGTCTTAACAAGCATGCCATGGAAATCATATTGAAGGTGATGTATGTCAATTTACAGACTAAATTAGGAGTTGTCTAATATCTAGGAAATTTTATTTTTATTGCCTTAATAGTAATTTATTGTATTTTTATTGCAATGACACTTGTTCTCCTGTGAACTCAATATTTTTAAAATAAAATAAAATGAGGTAATGTAAAAATATACTAATATAGGTACTAATTATATTAATTTTCATTAATGAAATAAATTTTTCAAAATTTAAAGTGAAGAAAATGAAAAAATTACAATTTTTATGTTCATAAGAGCAAAAATGACAATTACATAACAAAAAATTATTTTACAGCTTATTTATCAAATACTATTCTGCTGCTTAAATCCATAATCTCATAACTGTACCAAATAGGTTATCAACTTGTGTTCATAACTATAAATTATAATTTGTTAAGTTATAATCTATAATCTATAATCACTTTTGTACAACTCTAATAAAGGGGATCTACATTATGAAACCAAAACTGAATACAACCCTACAATTGTTCCAGCGGTGGTGCCAAAACGACGTCATTTTGGCACCTTTTTTTTTTTTTTCCCATTTTCCTTCCCCCTTTCTTTTCTCTCTCAAACATTTGAGAACCAAACCCTAACAAACAGAGAGGCGAGAGAAAGAGAGGAGAATGAGGAATAGATGAGGAAGAAGAAGAAGAAGAAGAAGAAGAAGAAGAAGAAGAAGAGAAGACGCCGGAGATGGCTTCGCCGGCCTAATGAGAAGCCGCGATCTGGCCACATCGGAGAAGGAGAAAGAGAAGGGGTAGAGGAAGAGCAGATGAGGAGGATCAAAACTTTTTTTTTTTCTCTTTAACAATGGAGTTTGCAGATTTACCCAAACTCGGTACTAATTTCCGACCCAAGTCCTTCGAAATCGATCTCAACGAGACCCCCTGGTGTGTGGTGCTTGCGGGCGAGGGTTTCATGTGAAGTGAAGTCTTTGATAACAAATATATCTTCATGTACAGGTTTGTCCCATTCTCTCTCTCTCTCTCTCTCTCTTCTTTTGAATTTGAGAACCCTGTTTTATATTTTTGTCTTTGTTCTTTTTCTTTTTTTTTTTTTATGAGAGAGTTGAATTTTCCAAGAATTTTTTTGTGTAATCACTAAAAATTCTAAACATGTTTGGGAAAGTCTAATTCTTTTTGCTCTACAAAATATGTGTTTACTAATTGGAGATGTGATTTTGCTATTTATTTTCTGTTTACTGTGTTTGGATTTGGAGAAAACTAAGTCACATGAAAGGGAAAATTTCTTATTTTGGTCTCTGAAAATTGAGAAACTCAAAAAAAAAAAAAAAAAATGATTGGACCCAAAAGAGTTTGCTCATAAAAATGGGAAACTGAAACCCAAAATTTTTATTTGATCTATTATCATTCTATTTTCTCTGCAACCAAACAGGATTTATTTTTTTTGTTCTCTTGCAAAAATTTTCATCTTTGTTTTTGGGGTTATTCTCAATTTGTATGGTATTTGAATTTGCAGAGGGGACACTCCATTCTGTAGTGAAGAGTGCAGACAAGAACAGATAGAGATAGATGAAGCCAATGAGAAGAATTGGAAGATCTCTGCTTCTATGAAAGCCCTGAGGATTGATCAGAAGAAATCCAACAAATCCTCCTCTCCAAACAAGACCCAAAACTACCCTTTCCGAGCAGGCACAGTGATGGCTGCAGGGGACAATAGACAACGACAGATAGAGCTAAGATAAAGCCAATGAGAAGAATTGGAAGATCTCTACTTCCATGAAAGCCATTGATCAAAAGAAACCCAACAAAACCTCCTCTCCTGTCTTCTTCTTCTCTTCTTTTCTTTTCTTTTTTTTTTTTTTCAAAATGATGTCGTTTTGAGGCACCGCAGCAATCACAGCAGGCATTATGACAGATGATCCGGACTCCTATTGGCGTACCATTCAGGCCCAAAGAGTAAAGATGGCCCAAGCTTCTGTACTCGGTTCACCCACCGTAACGGCTTCAATTTCGATTTCAAATTTTGAAATCAATCAATCAATCTCGCTCGCTCTCTCTCTCTCTCTCTCTCTCTCTCAAACAAGAACAGTATAGTGATGGAGAACCTTGAGATCATATTGGATCCAGAGACGGAGTTCCTTTACTCGAAACAAGAGACCGGTAATGAATGGGAACTATACAAGGAGAATGTGAAGCCGTTGAAGAGAGGCCGAAACGTTCGCCTCCTAAACGACGCCCTCAAATCCCAGACCGACAATCAACTCAAGAAATCTCTCCTTGAGACTCGAAGGTATATACACTACTGCTTATTCGTTTTTATCATTTATTATCTACTACTCTAAACCCTAGTCTTATTTCTCGATTTTCTTTTTCTTCTTCTTCGTCTTCTATGTCTCACTTCTTTCAGGAGGTTGATTGAAGCGATTGATGAGTACAAAGGGGACGACCCTCTTCAACCGTGGCTCGAGTGAGTACTCCAATCAAATCTCCGTTTCTGTATTCAATGCAAGGGTTTTGATTCTATTTTCTGTACAATTAAGCGGAGAGAGAGAGAGACAGAGAGAGAGAGAAAGAGCTTCTCAAGAACAGTTCAGCTCTCTCTGCCTTCCTAGAAAAGAATAGTTTTTTACTAAACAGATGCTTTGACTCTTCGATCCCCATGTTATCTGCTACTTTTTTTTCTTCTTTTTTTTTTTATTATTTTTCATTTATTATTTTGTACACGGTTAATTCAATTACTGAACTACTTGTTTTCTTCTTGTCATTTTGTAAAGTTGCATTAAATGGGTTCAGGAGGCTTTCCCTCCTGGCGGAGACGGCTCAGGACTGGTTGTGATTTATGAGCAATGTGTGCGTGCATTTTGGCATGAAGACCGCTACAAGGATGATCTCCGTTACCTAAAAGTGTGGTTGGAATATGTGCGTTCTTTTCATCGTGACTTGCATTTTTTGCTTTGATTGATACTGTATCATTTGTAGCCTGGTGTGTGACTGGTGTCTGTGTTCATTTATAAAGCTCTTTTATCCTGGTTTTTATTTAAAAGTGGGCAGTGGATCTGAAATGGCATTGCAGGCTGAAAATTGTGCTGATGCCGAAGTAATATATAGCTTTTTGGAAGCAAACAAAATTGGGCAGACACATTCTATTTTCTTCATGTCATATGCTTTGCACATGGAATCCAAGAACAAGATTAAAACTGCAAATGAAATTTTTAATCGAGGGATGTCTAGGTAAACTCCTGTTGCTTTTCCAGCAGTTCATATGTTTTGAAGATTGCATTCTGATTTGACTTCATTATGGATTACAATGTAGTTTGACAGTAATAAGATTATAAGATACTAGCATTTGATTTGATTTGTTTATGCAAACAATTTATTGGTGTTACGTGCGAGGTTTTAAGTTGGTTAGATTCAGTGACTCACTGGTTTATTTCATTTGCATTTTTCAGAAGTCAATTTTCTAATTTTACAACTAAAGATACATGCAAATTATCATCTCAAACTTATTGTACATATTCAGCTTGCATACGATGATTGTACCAGACTTGTTGCAATTTTATCACCCACATTCATTTGTTGCTTCTCACTTGTTTTAAGTTTGATCTTTTGATACTGAATGGTTATTAAAAAATGACAAGCATGTAATTCCTTGTTAATTTTTCTATGCAATAGGGATGCTCAACCAATTGAAAAATTGAAGGCTGCTTATAAGAAATTTCTTGCGCGTTCAATGGGAAGACCAAAAGCTACAGATGTATGCAATCCAATACATTAAAGTTCTCTCTCTCTCTCTCTCTCTCTCTCTCTCTTTATTTCTCCCCCCTTAAAAATTGGTTATAGTTTCCACTAAGTTCCATTTCTTCCAATTGTCAGGAGGACTTAACAGAAAATCGTTTGCCATTCCGAAGCTTTGGAACTATCTTGGCTAGGGGAGAAACCCGTAAGTTGCAATCTTGTCTTTTTGATACCTAAAATCTTTGCTTGCTAAAGTTTTTCCTGTTGTTGCAGGAGCCCAAACTACAGAGAGTTCTGATTTTCCTAGGAAAAAATTGAAGCAGGATAGGTGAGTTTTTGGTGCTTTTAATCTTCTGAAGTCGGAGAAAATATATATATATATATATTTTAAAGAATACTTGGTGTTGTTTTCTTAAAGGTCTTCCAGATAGGCAGAGTGGTGCATAACTTTACAATTCCTTCTGGCCTGGAGCCCTGTATTGAGGTTGTTAAGATTGGTTAAATATGGTGTGGATGATATTCCAGAGGTCTGGTAAAGGTGCTACTTTAGGACTACAACAGAACCCACTGTTTCAAAAGTGATGCATAATTCGAACATCAATTCTAAACGAACATGATTGATACAAATAACTTCATTATGCCCCTTACATTTTTTTATTTTCTTAAAATAAGATGCTATTTGACCAATTATCTAGCTTTAAGGAGTTTTATAGATATTAGTATGATCATTATTACACTTTTGTTTTAAGGTACTCTCTGTTTCAATTTTATTTTATAGGGCTCATGGGGCTCCACTTACCATTTTCAAAGATACCAGAATTGATGTCAGCTTGGTTCATCAACCAGAGTTGTCCAAAACAGACTCAAAATCTTGGCATGGTCTTGGAGGTCGAGCAGAGAGAAATAAAGAGAATAATGCAATTCCTACCAAGTGGACATCAAATAAGGTTAGTTTTGAACTCCACACAATATGTTTTGTCTAATTGCTGGCAATTTTGACTTTGGTTTTTTCACATCATACCTGATATCTAATGCATTTAATTTACTGATTTCAGATTCCACGTAGACTTGGGCCTAGAACTGGAGGAGCAACTGCCAGTGCTTGCATTGAGGTATTTGTCGATGAGGAATGTGCTGAGTGAGTAATAAACTCCTACAATTTTGATGTACTATTAGCATTTTTTTTTATGGCTGCGCTCGTTTGCATGTAGTGAAAATTGTCATTTTTTATTTTTTTGAGAAACTTATGGTTTGCGGACATACAATAAAGAAGAGCCTCCCTAGAAATACAGGCTGGGAAATTTCCAACTCTAGAATAGGGATTCTCTAATGTCAGGGTATACCTGCCTAAAATATGTGCCACCCTATTACAAGAACGAGGAATAAAAACGAAAGTACAAGAAGAGTAGCCTGGCATTAACCAAGCACATCAACCTGGCTGGTGCAGTGGGTTTTTTGACTTCACATCTTAACAATAATCTGTGCATATACTTTCCCAAAACTCATATGAGAACAAATTAGAACAATACAACAAAAGGAATTGTTTCCCCTACAGTAGGGGAAATGACAATCATGCTGAGAGCTGCATCAACAAATAGCAACTCACCTTTATCATTTCTTGCTACAACACCATTTGTCCCTTTTTCCATGTTTGGCATCTATCGCTCCATCCATACTAATTTTAATTTTAATAATCTGTGCTGTGGAGCCTGGAGGAGGTTGCGAAACCTGAGAATTTCCTCCGCTGGCATTTGCTGTTTGCGCAGAACTATGCTTAGTTTCCAACAAAAATTCAATGTTATATTGGCCATTTCTTTTTGCAACAATTCAATCTCTCACCAATTCCGCCTGAACACCCTAACATATCACACCTTCCAGAAACTCCAAGAGCTCATGTCAATCTAACCTTTAAGAATGTCCCATAATATTTGCCACCACTGGAAAAATCAACATTACTAAATAAATACTAATAGCTTCAGGTCAAAATCAAAAGGGGGATAAAGAGCCGCACACAGGTTAAGCCTCCTCCCCATAAATCTTTCTTTTACATAGATTTCATTTACCCGGAGTATATTCCCAAGACATTTCTACTTAAAAAGCTTAACCTTGCCCTGAACTTTCATGTACCGAATCATTTTACACAAGTGGTTTTTTGTCTACTTCTATACCGTACTACACATTATCTCTTTGTTGCCTTTGTCTCTCTGTTGCCTCTGCTCTACACTACGTCAATGTTCGCAAAGATCCACTATCACACCATAGAGCTAACGGGAGAACAGTCACGATGCCATTATGCTACACCTGATAATTCTTGGTGGGGAGCCTTAAGCTTCCCAAACTTACCTGAGCAAAGCATTATATTGAATGAAAACTCCAGAACTTATTAATTTCATTCCTGTATACTGCATTTACCTTACTGCACTGTTCACTTGCTCAGTACATCATGGTGTTAAGCAGTGTGAAGTGCTGTGAAAATATGAAATAAAGAACATTGATGTTCTCACCCAAGGGGTTTTAGTTCCACCAAACTGATTCACTTATCTTGAAATTAAGTAAACGATGCTGTTCATAATAGTAAACCAACCCCTTCCCCAGTCAGCGGCCCTTCTTAATCAATTTCTTAGATGATTATGTTGTCATTATTGATATTAATTCCTTGTTGCTGATTAGTTATCTATCTTTTACAGAAATAAAGTGAGCAGTGAGGTTGGAAAGTCGTCTGTTTTGCAGCTCAGACACGGGGATGGTCAAGACCTTAAAAAGTAAGCATTGACCTTGAAATGCCTTTTTTTATTGTACTTTTCAAGTTTTCTTTTTAATTTTTTAATATTTTTTTGGCAGGGAATCGAAGCTATTGAGAGAAAACCCATTACGCAACTTTTCACCAAATTTTCTTCCCAGATAATCAACATACAATGCTCATCTATGTTTGTTATGTTGTATGAGTTAATGTACGGGTCAGCTTTTATCTTAAAGCTTGATCCCATTGTTATCCATGAATATTTTCTAATTGCTAAGAAAATTTGAACCTGCTATGTTTTATTGTCATTCCATAAATTTTAATGGAATCTTGCACAAGCACACTTGTGGTATGTGTACCTAATACGTTTGTGCTATTTTCCTGATTTTCTTCCATTGAAGTGCTGTCTCGTTCTGCATTCAAAATCCCGATTAAGGTGAGTTCCTGTTGATGTTACTTGTAGTACCCGAGCCGCCAATCTGTGCATGCTATGTGGGTCTTGGTCATCCTAATCTCCTCTTTTTATGTCTTAATCTCTGCACATGCTATGCCAATCTGTGCCTATATGCCAAGTTTCCTCCTGTGAAGGGTTCAAAAAGAACAATTAACCCTTGTTGTGTACTCTGAACAAATGTTTTCATGTATATATATATATTTTTTAAATTGAAAATGAAAACATGTTTGGTATACTTTTTTTGTTTACAAAAAATGAAACTTTTAGTCTAAAATTTTCAATAAAAAATTATGTTTGCGTTTGGTAGAGTTTTATAAATATGATTTGAGAGTATGAGTTATATTTTGAGTTTGTGAGTTGTGGAATTATGATTTGAATGTAGAAAATTTGTTTGGTTATATTTTTTGAATAGAGTATTGAATTGAGTTTTGAATTGAATGTGAAATTGAGTTTTAAAAGTTTGATTTGACATGTGAAGTAAGAAAATTTATTTGGCTATTTTCAAAACTTAATTCAAATTGTTATAACTTATAACAAAACACACTACTTTCACACTATTGAAAATTCTGATCAATACTCATAACCAAATTCTTTTTAAAATTTAATTAAAAAAATTTATTATTAACAGAAAATAACATTAATCAATTTTTTAATTGAAAATACCACAAAGAAAATAATTTTTTTTCAAAATAAATATTCAAAAAATTTAAATCATAAATATTTAAATAATTTAAATAATCTAAAAAATTTAATAAGTAAAAAATTAAAATAAATATTCAAAAAATTTAAATCATAAATATTTAAATAATTTAAATAATCTAAAAAATTTAGTAAGTAAAAAATAAAAATAAATATTCAAAAATTTTAAATCGTAAAAATTTAAATAATTTAAATATTTAAAAAATTTAAATAATTTAAATTTAAAAACAACTCTACACTCAAATCGTAATCATTATACCCACATTCACATTTTCACAAACACAAAAAACTCTCAAATCGTAACCAAATAACATAACAAAAAAATTAAAATATTTAAAAATATTTTTATAAAATAGAGTTTGAATTTATTTTTATAAAATATTTTAAAATTTAAAAAATTAAAATCATAATATTTTGAAATTAAAATATTTAAAAATATTCAAAAAATTAAAATTTTTAAAAATCGTAATATTTTGAAATTAAAATATTTAAAAATATTCAAAAAATTTAAAATTTAAAAAATCGTAAAATATTAAAATATTAAAATATTTAAAAAATTAAAATATTGATTTAAATTGAGTTTTGAAAAGAATTTTGAATTATGTATTTGGTTACGAGTTTTAAAAAGTAATGATTATGCTTTGAATTGAATTTTGAGAAATAGGTGTAGAATTATGATTTGAAAGCTCAAAACAAATAACACACTCAAATCAATGAACGAAACTATAATTTAAAAAACTTACCATTATTTTCAAATTAAGTTTTTACTCTCTTCTCCATCACCCACCATCTTCTGTCCACCCACCGCTGCCACAACCGCCTTCCAACGAGCTCCAATCACATTTTAGCAGACACTATCCGTTTACCCTCATCCGCTAGTCAACAACTCTAGTAACTCACCAATTATGTTTTTCATTAAATTTGTTTTTCTGATTTTTGTGAACAAATGTAAGAAATTGACAAATTTTATCAACATATTTTAGTGTTTGATATAACAAAAAACAAAAATCAAGAGAATATATATATATATATATATAAAATTTTAAAAGATGACAGATATTTTCAAATTAAAATCTTATAATGCTATTACAACCACTTTTATAGCGACTAGTAGGCTACATCACCAACACGCCTGCACATCTGCCACTAAAATCGTGATTGCTGCAACCAACAACCTTCGTCACCTAGGGAATCGAGGAGCCTACAAGTGCACGGTAACACCGGTTCAACTCCCTTCTGGGCGAATCTCCTGGGCGTAGCACAGTTGGTTAGGAGATTGACCTCAAGGATGCCTTATCAGCTACTTGGTGTGGGTTTAATTCTCTCCCGCTGTGCGAGTCTTGACTTAAGCGGAGCTTGCCTTGGGAGGTCGGGACAAGCTTCCAGGTTATAGTCTCTTACTCGGAACGGACAATAGGACACCCTGGTGATCTCCTCGGGGCGCTGCCTTGGACCTGCGGGAGAGTAAGAGGATTTCCCTGTAACAAAGAAAAAAAAAAAAAACACCAGTTCAATTTGTCGGGGAGAAATTTTAGAACCCATGTGCTTAACATTAGGATTCAACATATATTATTTGAAATTCATACTCACTTAAAAACTTAAATTTATAAGTGAAAAGTCCATCTAATGTATATTAAGACATTTTTTTTACTTTTTATTTGATGTGAGACTTTATCTTTACCTTTACACATACTCCAATAATTTTCCCCTCATGTGTAAACCAAATATTGGGCCTTTTCTTACTCTCTCGAAACTTGAGCTATTATCCGCAAGTTTATCATAGATCAAATACACTTCCCTTTAATCTTGACCTGTAACTCTCTAGCATCAAGTCCAACTTAGGTCACCTCCACGCACACTAAATCGTGAGCCACCATACTCTATTGAGAGAGCCACCACATGCTCCGACAATCTTTCCCTCATGTATGAATCAAACAATGGGCTTGTCCTTATTCCATCTCAAATCTTTATCTATCATCCGCAAGTTCATCATAGATCATACACACTTCCCTTTAGTCTTGATCTATAATTCTTCAACATCAAATCCAACCTAGGCTACCCCTACGCGCACTTAATCGTAAGCCACTATACTCTATTGAGAGAGCCACCTTGCCGCGGTTGCACTAAGAATATATTTTTCTCTATCAAGAGTCACTATGGAATTATTATTATTTTTAAAATTTTTTTTTGTTGTTTTATCAAGAGTTTTTGTGCAAGCTCAAGCCCAACAACATCGATACTCTAGAAAAGCTTGCCCATAGATTATTAGCCATTGGCTCTGATACCAGTTGTTAAGGAATCGAGGAGTCCACAATCACACAGTAACACCGGTTCAATTCATCCGGGAGAAACTTCAGAGCCACATGTTTAACATCAGGGCTCAACATATATTATTTGGAACTCACACTCACATAAAAGTTTAAACTTGTAAGTGGAGAGTCCACCTACTGTATATTAAGACTCATTTTTTTTTACTCTTTATTCGATGTGTGACTTTACCTTAACACATTCTCCAACATTTGTTTCACTACTGCTAAAAATTTAAATTCAGTATAGAATTTAAAAAAATATATATTAACAAGCAGTAAATTTTATGCATATTAATAATTAAAGTTATAATTTTTTTTAATATACCTGTATTAATTACCACTTATCGGTAATGTTTCCTAAATTTTAACGTTTTCATTGTCGCTGAAAAAATCAAAAGGTTTCCAGGGAAAACACTATGGTGCACACCCGCACCTTATAACTGTTGGCTACATATTTTGTAACAACTAATCGCAGCTTGACACGTGGTACATGAAGGGCAATTCAGGGAGTTAATACAAGTCTTCAATCAAAGACAGATACGTGACAGGTCATATTGGTTATAATCAAGGTTCTGAAAAGCGGTTGCGGTCGCCGTAACAGTGGCGGTGGCGCGGTTGCGGTTGCGGGGTGTAAAGGCCACAGCGTAACAGTTACGGTTACCGGAACTGTGAATTTTTTTATTTTTCGCACAATTTGCAAAAAACTTACCGATACGCATATTTTTTTTCTAGAATCATATTTATTGGGTTTTAAAAAAATTTTGATAATTTTTAAGTATGATCCTATATATTTCATATTTTTAAATCACTAGAAAATGAATTTTTTTACATTTTATTTCAATAATTAATGACTTTATATGTCATAAATCCATATTACACTTGTGGCAAAAATATATTTTATTGGACTTAGATGTATAAAATTATTTTTAATTATTATACTTGTGGAAGCATATGTACATTTTAACTCAAATAGTTTTAAAAAAGTATACATCCTTAATGGAAGAACTTGACAAAGTACATAACATCATAACACAAATCACAAATAACAGAGAGTACATTTTATATAATGTTACTACTAAAATTACATAATGTCACCACCAAAATGAGTGACGTCGTGCATCTTGGGATTCAGATTGTTGAGCTTGATTGTTGTTGCTACCTTCACCCCACCAAAATGAGTGACGTGGTGCATCTTGGGATTCAGATTGTTGAGCTTGATTGCTGGTGCTACCTTTACCCCATCCAGTAGGAAATATATAAGTGAATGTGCTCATCATGTCATCCCTTTCTGTTTGGTGCATTGGGGGAGAAAATGGATACCTTGGCTGAAAAGGATCAATATACTCTTCTTGGGCTTGTAGAAAATTTGGCAAATCGTATCCTAGAGGACCATGTTGTTGAGGGGGCCAATGGTAATTTTGTTGAGGTGGGTAAGAATAGCTCTGGCTATCACTGCTATAGGATAGGTAAGGGTGATATGGATAACTCTGACTACTATCAGATGAATCAAGCTATTGTTCTCTGCTTCTTATTCTTCTTTCATCCCTATGTGTATCACTACCACGAAACCTCCTAGGTAGTTGGGGTAAAGGTGCAATAGGTTCTCCAATATCATAATGTTCTCCAACATCACATAATCCAAATCCTCCACTTAAATCTTCACTTCCTGCACCAAAACTAGTACCATCACCACCATTGTCGCCGCCGCCGCCGCTACCACTATCACCGTGAGAAGTGCCTCCATCATCACCTCCTTCTTCAGACGGTGTTAAACCACCACTATTATCACTTTGAGTTGGAGTAGGAGTTGAGCTTTGAGAAGTGCGTCAAACTTGATATCTATGGGTGCCGCCACCATCGTTTCCATTGCTGCCATCGCCATTGCCGTTGTCGCCACCACCACCATCATCATCTGAGACCAAA